GACACTCCAGCACCACCTCACCTAGACTGTGCAACTTGTAACAGCGTGTCCTACAGCGGCCCTGATTACCACGGCGAGGAGTGAAGAGGGCGAGACAAGAACTGAATCTCACGTGGATTTATAAAGTGTTTGTTGAGGTGATCAAGTTACAGGCAATAAATTTGAACCAACAGCCACATGACGCCTGTGATTAGCTGTCCTTAGATATGTGAAAAGTCCGAAAAACTGTCACTACGTCTTTTACTTACTGCAAACTGGGTGATTATTGGCGAATATACAGTAGACACCCTCCCCCCTCACCTTCAATTGCCAATTAGGAGCCGCACCTACAATTTTTCTTGCTACCGTTTCATCTTGGTCGCTAATTGCCTTTCATTGGACCCTTGCCCCGCCCCGCCCCGCCCCGCCCCGTCCCGGCAGTCAGCTCAGTAGACAAATCATTACCCTCTACCTTGATCGCTTATTGGCTCATTGGGCAGCCCGGGGAGCCAATCAGCCAAAAGCATCTATCATCCTCCCTGCCCTCCCTCTCCCGGGCCCGTTCTCATTACTCATGTCAAAAGCGAATTAGCAGAGGCATCATTCTTCGTCAGGAAGTTCCAATACCTGATGGTCTTACCTCTATCTCAATAAACTTAGGGGTTATTTTTATATCTTAAATTCATTGTCTTCTAAAACTACGACGCCAGACACTTGCAGCCATCGCCAATTAAGATTCCCGAGACAACAGAACCTGACTCGGAATTGTGTCTGTGAAGGCGATGTGTTTACAGTCGCCTCACGCCTGCAGGGACGTTAATAAATGATTGTCACTCGGATCCATGAATTACCAGCTATTAATTTTCAAACTTGGGGTTCCCAAGTTTACCTGTACAGGTGAACACCACCCTAATTACTCACCTACTGCTGATTAAAGGAAGGTGTCAAGTTGGTTCGCTTCATAAATCATCCAAGAAAACGTTTTGTTTTTTATTTAACGGAGATGTTTTCCAAAATGAACGATCAATTATTGATAGTGAATAAATACTAGCGCTTACAGTCGTAGATATGAAGGAATATAATCAATAGTTCCTTGTGAGGGTTGACAGTCGAGTAACGTTAGTGGACGACAGACAGCATTTACAAATACTATGGTAAAGTAATACTAATACCACCATCCTGAAAATTCCAATATAAATTTAAACTTTTGACTCTACATTAACATTCCTTCGTATCCACTACACCTCTCTAGCTCAGCACAACACTGGAACCCTCAGACCCACACACATGTGACCGTTCTCAGGGCGTCTTAAACTTTCTCAAGAGGATTTGAAGTTAGACCAAAGCGCCACGCGGGTTAATAATTACTAAAAGACTATTTATATATCTTTAATCCCTACACTTATTTCACAGTTCGAAAGAAAACGAGTCAATGGGTCTTAGCAATTTCACCCGCGTCGATAACTCTTTCACAGTTCAACTATTTTACCCAAAAGACTGAATGACACAGCGCGTCTCCTTAAAAGCACAGTTTGCTTTCGTAACTTTGAAAAGGGCGAGGAAAAGAAAGATAAATCCTTAAATTTAAGTCGCAGGCACCAATAACTGAAAGGGAAGGGACCTTTAAGGCACATATCCCTAAAACTGACATTTAATATTTGGGGATGGTACGTTTCCCTAAAACTGATATCTTGGAATACGTTAAATTTCCCTAAAATCTATGGTTGCAGATGGGTACATTTCTCTAAACTTTGTATTTCTGGATGAGTACTCAAACTTGATACATAGTTCTTCATAGACAAAAGTATGTATTGAAGATGCTTAGCAATGTTGAATTCAGTTTGAATCTAATAAGAATTATTTGTGGTTTAGAAAAGTATCTAAAAAAAACTAAAAGTTAAAGAGGGGTAATAAGCACCTTTAAGCCAGCATCAGGGAACACGCATCCCTAAAAAAAAAAAAAAAAAAAAATGATGTTCCAAATTTACAGTATAACCTTTTAGGGTAACTCTAGGAAATTCCCCTAGTTAATCAAACCGACTTATATATGTTTGTACAACCTTACCCTACACTTATTAAATCTTCAAGAGGTGTGACTGGACCATTAAACCGGAGTCTCCATTATTATAGGGTTGTGTCCCCATTGTAATTAGGTTGGGTCATTATTAATAACTAGGTGGTCTAATGGGCCCTGCCACCTCCAACAACACCAACCCTTTCCATCTGTAACCTTCAACCAACCATTAATTTTCCTTCCCGTTAGTTCCCTAAATCCATCCACCTCTTTATCTATCCTCGTTAGTTCCCCCTTAACCAACCCTTATCTGTCTTCGTTCGTACCCTTAGCATGCGTCCCTCCCTTACTCGTGTTACACTACGCCCAGCCATGTTTGTTTTAGGTCGTTTAACTTATGCTGCACTGACGAAGATAATTCTCATGTAGTACGTTAACTTAAGGAAGGAAATAGGGACATTGTTTTGAGTAGAGAAATATTCTAGATATTTGGTGACCACGAGAGAGAGCCTCAAAGAGATTGATAACTGGTTAAATAAGTTTGTAGTATTATGGAGGTTCAGTTCTACTAGAGCGCCTCAATACTAATGAGATAGGATTATGCCTATTTGGACACATGGAGCCTGAAAAGGACACATGGAGTCCGAATTAGACACATGGGCCCCGAATTGGACACATGGGGCCCTGTTTGGACTGGGGCCCATTTGACCCGCAACCTTCTATACACGTGTCACCACTATAAGAGAAACAGGAACAACAACAACAACAATAGAAGTTAATAAGTGGAAGTGAATGGAACAAACCGCATTAAGAGCGTCACTGCTGAAGGTTTATGTTAGGTTGTTACTGCACAACTACCACCTCGGGGCGTCTCCAAACGACCTTCATTTGGGGACAAGATCCAGATTCCCTGACCGACACTTAGAGCGGTAAGTCCTATTTACAGCCCCTGGTGATAGGTCCATCAGGTCCGGACGAGCACCTCAGAGAGCCTCCCTCAACCCGTCATTTGCTCAAGACAAGACCTAAAGTAACGTCTGAGTCTCCCACTCAGTAACCACCAACCGTACTCCCGTTTTCTATATCACCCCACTAAGGCACACCACTGAAATAAGTATATACTGTACTGTATATGCTATGTGTATTTCTTCTCTCTCTCTCTGTATATACAGTATGACAGCAGATCTTATTAAGTTCACGCATTATTCTTAACTTTAAAAAGTTCCACCTCAGCATTTTTGTGAGAGAAATTTTAAAACCGTGAAGTAAGAACTCCTCATTTTTTTTTCTCTTCCTTCTTATCCAAGTTACAATAACGAGGTCGTATATTTCTGGGGGATCTGGTTGTGAGTGTTCATTCTTCAGGGATATATTAAAGCTGTTATAAAGAAATATGAAGGCTATTTATAATTCACAGGGGTCCGGTGGGAGGAGGTTTAGCAGGCCAGCATAAGTGTGAGGTAGGGAAGGTAGGGAGGGTGGGTAGCGTATCTTTGGGTAAGGCATGGATTATCCCTCCCCCCCCCCCCTTAAGATTTTCTATTTGATGTAATGCTAACACTTTTTTTTTGGCTCTGACTACAAAAGAGAGGTTACAGTAGCCGAATGATTCTAATATATCAATGTCTTTTTTATGCCCACGATATAATTTTACAAAGCAATAAAAAATAAAATGAAACACTTGGGGAATTTGGTGATCATTTAACTTTTCTGTATTTTTGGGGTTTTTGTGATAAATTCCTCCCCAAAACTTACCCATAGTTTTTTTTTCCCGGGTGGTTTTGATTATGGAGTTCACACACACATATTACGAGAGATTGCAACGCTGAACACGAGAAGTCATCCGGTTGGTGGTTGAGAAGATGTTGGAGAGACCTGAACAGTGTAGCATCATCAAACACCGAGAGTAAAGAAGATTAACACAACCCAGCAGTGACAACAGCTATAACATCCAAGTCAAGCTGGTGGAGAACATGTGAAGCTGGTGGAGAACATGTGAGGCTGGTGGAGAACATGTGAGGCTGGTGGAGAACATGTGAGCCTGGTGGAGAACATGTGAGACTGGTGGAGAACATGTGAGGCTGGTGGAGAACATGTGAGGCTGGTGGAGAACATGTATGACTGGTGGAGAACATGTGAGGCTGGTGGAGAACATGTGAGGCTGGTGGAGAACATGTATGACTGGTGGAGAACATGTGAGGCTGGTGGAGAACATGTGATTATTGTACTAAATTCTTCCATCAAGTTATAAATCTTGGAGAATTTCAGGCACTTGAAGATGCCAAGAATCAAGAGACTATGAAACTCCAGGCACTAAAAAGTATATGGCACTGGATTATTGTAGGCACAGAAATTCTAGTCACTGAGAAATTCCAGTCAGTCACGCTGGAACTAAAGAAACTGTGTTGGGTAAAGTCCCTCAACCTACATCAACCTGGAATAGCTGTCACCACTGCATTTGGAGATCCATATTTCCTTAATTTAAAACTAAATAATTAGAGAGAGAGAGAGAGACGACTCAGGACGCAACTGGAAGTACCGGGTACATAGTTTTCCTTTACTCAACATGACGACCTCTGCCGGAGACACAGACACACTTCATCCTTAATTCCAGAACAGTGTTGTTTTCTTTTACAGGAGATACAACTCAACACTTAAATAATATAACTTTCTTATCCTGAACTCTACTAGGCTCTCCTACCACGCCCCCCCCTCCTCTTTAAACCCCACCATAGTCTCTGTTTGAAGGAGTTTTTTAGTGTTTCCAGAAGAACGTCTTTACTGCTGCATGAGAGGATCAAGTGATCATACTGTACACAACTTACCACTTCAAAAACAGTAAAGTGAGAGTGCCTTCTGAGAGGGCTTCCATTACCCGGGTAGGGTATCAGAAGGGCGCTCTCCCCTCCAGCTGTTGCTTCTGTTTTAGGGTGGGTTGGGGTGAGGGGTTTTGTATTTTCAAAACATCGTATTTACTACTTCTAAAAGGGTCACTCCTCCCCTCCCCTTTCCGCCCTTCCTTCTATCCCTCCTAAATGTTCCATCTAATAGTTTCTGGAGGGAGGGTTGTTTTAGTACTTCCCGGAGTAGTGGCTGCCGGTGGTGGAGGGCGGGCCGCGGGAGTGTGAGGAGGGGTGGTGGTGGCGGTCGTGCTTGAGGGAGTGGTGACCGGAGTAGCGAGAATTGGGGCGGGAATGGACGATGGCGTAGTGGTCGCTGTGAGACGACACCGAGCGAGCTGAGTTCATCGTCGATGCTCCAGACGTGTAGCCCTTCCCGTTGAGAGAGTACCTGTGAGGGGAGAGAGACGTGTGAGAGAGGGGGTGGTGTTAAACTAGAGAGAGAGAGAGAGAGAGAGAGAGAGAGAGAGAGAGAGAGAGAGAGAGAGAGAGAGAGAGGGGGGGGGAGCTGCAATTCTATTATAGTCCATGCCTAACTATGGCCGAGATACACCAGCCTATTGGTCAATAAAACACAGGACTAAACAACTACAATTACGAAACAAAAGTAAATTTAAACCAACTAATGAAAAACACTGAAATAAAATCACTAGAAAATTTTTAACCCGAAATACTGCTTAATTAACGAAAATAAATAATTCAAAAACTTCTTCGTACGAGTTAATGAAATATTGAATAGCAATAAAAAAGGGGTATTCATTTGAAATTAGTTAACAGAAATCAAGAAGTTAACTGAAATGATAAAAAGGTGAACTAACAATTTAATGTAGCATAAAACATTGAATGATTAGGAAAAAATACGTAAAACTTTATTGAAACAATTAAAAACTAATGTAATTTACTGAACATATATAAAGTACAATTGTGTATGTGTATGTATGTGACTGCATGCGCGTGTGTGTGTGTGTGTGTGTGTGTGTGTGTGTGTGTGTGTGTGTGTGTGTGTGTGCGTGTGCGTGTGCGTGTGTGTGTGTTTTCCTACCTTCTAAGCGCAAAAGAAAAATCCTGTTTCAAAATTAGGCTGAAAATTCCTCTATCAAATTCATTCTCCATAACTTTTATCCCTCGGTCTAACAGGCTACTATAGATGAGCCATTTTGTATCCTTGAGTCTGATTGGTCATCATTCCACCTCGTAATACAAAACGCTTCATGATTGGTCGCTTGAGAGCTCTCCAATGAGATGATTACTCACCTGGCACAAGGGAAGTTGCTGGTGTTGAGGGGAGGCGTAAATTTGTGTTATAATCCGTCACGTTTAATGGTGAAAATAATCGTAAAATAAGGGCGATTCTGAGAGATATTGGTGATCATAAGTCTTAGAAAATTGTTGAGGGAATTATAAAATTTACGGAGCGTGCAAAAATGATTTAAATATTTGGGAAGACATACGAACATCCACTGTGACCTCCTACAAGAGGTCAGAGGTCACACACACACACACACACACACACACACACACACACACACACACACACACACACGAGCGCGCATTTTCAATTGCATTTTATATGTTCAGTAAATCACATTAACATATTTCAGACACGTTTTATTAGTTTTTAATTGTTTCAATAAGGTTTGACAAATATACCGAGGCCTTCCTAGAAGATGCCAAAGGTCAAAACCATACACACACACACACACTTACCTGGAGCCATACTGGGAGCCATGCCAGGAGCGGTAAGGGTCATACTCCTCGATGATGGATGGCTCCTTCTCGATGACCTCAGACTTGGTGCAGGAACAAGTCATGGCGGAGCACAGGAAGATGTTGATGATCATCATGATAATAAACAAGACGGCCAGCACGATGCACAGGATCCACAGCCACGGGGGGTACCAGTCACACGTGGTCAACCCTGAGGAGGAGGGGCAGGTTAATGGTGGGTCATGGGGGAGGAGGAGCAAATTAATGGTGGGATCATGGGAGAGGGGGAGCACGTTAATGGTGGGATCATGGGGGAGGAGGGGCAGGTTAATGGTGGGATCATGAGGTAGGGGTATAATAATAATGGGTCTATGAAAACGACGGAGTACAGTATGAATGGGGCCATCATGGGGTAAGTACCATATCAATGGGGTCCGACGAAGCATACCGATAAGACTATTAGATTATAGTGAGGGACTGACTGACCATTGAGGAATTTCCCTAGTGACATAATAAGGTAAAAATATAATGGGTACTGTTAAGACAAAGGGACAAAACTTACGAGACAAATTACGGATATTCATATAGCAGAATGGGGGGGGGGGGGTGTAAAATGCCATGAAATAATAACAGATGGGTAAATATTTTCTGGAATTAATACTAAACACAAATATCAACTGAATCATTTGCATATAAATACCAAAAAATAAATTCAAAGTTGGGAATTCCTATAGCAAGAATAATAATCTCTATCAAATGTCTTCAATTAAATGCTATCTCGGTTATATGGAAATACTAAACATTACAAATCGGTATTCTTGCATCTAAACATCTACACAACAATAACTGGCATCAAATGTAAATGACATCACTGGTACATTAAACCTCAACACAATCACGGAAACTGAACACAGCCGCAGTTGGTGGTTTCTGCATCAGACCTAAGCGTCGACATACCGTGAGTGTTTCTTCCCTCTAAACTAAAGCAGCAGCGTCACAATTGGGTATTCCCGCTGTAAATTCCCTCTTTAGAACCACGAGCGAGGGATGGTTAAGAGCTACGGAGAGACAGAGGTGGATAGAGAAACAGAGAGAGAGAGAGGGTGGGGATAGCTAGATAGACAGATAGGTAGATAGAGATAGATTGATTAGAGAGAGAGAGAGAGAGAGAGCTTCATGTGGCACAAAGGCTACGAACAGTATCACGAGTGCGGAGGATGGACGATGGTAGAACAGAATTTGGCGCGACACAATCAGGACTGAGGCAAGATAAGAAGTGCATCGCTGTCTGGTCTGAGTGACTGAACCGCTGGCGTGTCTGTTATTCTGGCTTTCAGCACTTGCGGTGGCCGTAATTTTAGGATTTCAGGATATGTAACGGCTATAATTTCTGGAACTGTATTTGCTGTAATGTCGGAGTTCAGGAATGGTGTAAGCTGTAATTTCAGCTTATGTAGTGGGTTTTAATGTTTGGATTTCAGGATTCGCAGTGGCTGTAATATCAAGAACTGTATTTTACTGTAATGTTGGGAATTCAGGAGTTGAATTTGCTGTAATGTTGCAAGTTTACGTATCGCAATAGTTGTAATTTCAGTAATTCCGGTGGCTGTACTATAAATATTTCAGGATTTGAATTGGCTGTAATTTCAGAACTTGTTATTGCTGCAGTACTAGATCTTCAGGAGCTGAGCTTCCTGTAATGCTGGGATTTCACAAATTTTATTTACTGATAATGTTAGAATCTCAAAAACTGTATTTGTTTTACTGTTAAGATATCAGGATTTGTAGTTACAACAAAAACGGGATCTTCAATTTGCTGTAATGTAGCAACGTTACTGGCTGTATTGGACATAATTTCAGGACATAAAATCACTGTAATGTAGGATTGTACTCGGGGATTTTTCCTGGATTAGTGTAATTCATCGAACCACTGCATATGCGATTACTTAAGAGCGTGGGTAGAGAAGACGGTTAGGATAGGTTTACTGTATACTGAACCGGTAACGAAATGTCCGAGAACCAGAGTAGATATAGACTGAGGGAGAGTGAGGGAGAGTGATGATGCCTGAGGGAGAGTGAGGGAGAGTGATGATGCCTGAGGGAGAGTGAGGGAGAGTGATGATGCCTGAGGGAGAGTGAGGGAGAGTGATGATGCCTGAGGGAGAGTGAGGGAGATTGATGATGCCTGAGGGAGAGCATGGTAAAGGGAGAGTTAAAGAGGTTGAGGAATGGCAGGGTAACGTAACTGAGCCTTCAGCAGGTCATATGAGACCACAACACACACACACACACACACACACACACACACACACACACACAGACCTTATATAAGACCCTGGGGTATAAGGCCTCGAGCAATTAATGTTTCCGATAAGTTTCACGGAACACCTCCTCACCCCTCCCCCACCATTCCTCTCTCCTATCACCCTCTCCCAGTGATCCTTTGAAGCCCTTCTAAAAATATGAAGCTTCAATTGTTCGGAATCCAGTCAAGAACACTCAAGACTGTAGCATACGAGGAGAACGTGACCTACACAACTCATGATTTGAAACATCTCTCTTACTCCCTTCTCTGCTCCACTCCTGGACACTCCTTAACACCAACTGTCAAGAAATAATTAACTCTTACCTATAAACTATCAATTAAGAAGCTATTACCTTCAAACTGTTCGCAAGCGACTCATTTGGCGACTCACAAAACCGAAGCAAAATGAGGCTTCAAGACCCTTAACGCTACGGGATGCTCTGAGACACCTGCCTTCGTTGTTTCACTTCCCTTTGATTTCTTGAAGGCAATTAAAACCCAACGGACAATTCTGTAAAAACCGATGCACAAAACGAGACCTCGAAATAGCTCTCCATATAACCAGTGTATCGAAGCGCTTCGAGAAAAGAAAGGCTTCAAAGTGGTTAATAGCAGCTAAGAAATATATAAAAAATATATATATCACAGTACATCAAAGTTCAAATTGACATCTGACAAGAGACGAGACGCCAAGGCAAACGCCTTCAAGGTTCCGAAGCGCTCCGAGACAATAAGCTTCAAAGTACCTCCTCCTCCTCTCCTCCTCCCTACTGATCCCTGGCATGGCTTCCCTCGTATAAAGGTGATCATTATGCAACAATTTATGGGAATCAGATAATCCCAATATTGGCTCGCCGGCTATTATCCCAAAGTCTACGGCGACACTGGGATTACACAAGAATTATATCGAGTCCCCAAGTTCTTCAGTAGATTGTTATATGCCGCTGATGAAAGGCCGAAAAAAAACTCTCGATAAATGGTTGGTTTTGTATTTAGTTTGTTATATCGCGTTTGTTATAAGACTCGGTGGAAGATCATGCTAGAGGGGTGTTGTACTGATTAATGTAGTTTGTTATGTCTTTTGTTTATCTTTGGGTCTTGTGTTTTTATCATGTTATATGGCTTATTGAAATGATATATAATGATGGTCTGTCTGTCTCTCTCTCGTGCTATAAGAGTTCCTAAAGCATAGTATAATGGACTAAAAAAACCACCATTCCCTTTATCTTGTTTCACTGTAACACTAAAACAAACCATTGATTGGGTAAGCTTTCAGACTCTCACATTCAGGTGAGGAGAGAAATCATGCTCAGATATTTTCCCTTACAAGTTTTTTTTTTCCTCTCTCTCTCTCTCTCTCATAACGTTTGTATGTGAACTTAGAAAAAAATCACAAAGTTTTCCACAGTCGGTCGTGCAGGTAACTTTTTCTACTGATATTTATAGAGTGTGATGAAAGTCAGGAGTCAATATCGGAAACGCTTTTTTACTTTCCTATTTTCTTGATATTATTTTTTATATATGATTGAAGGTGATGAAACGATGATGCCTAAACGGTATTGAATCTTCGTTGATTTATTTTTTTTCCTATTTGCCTCCCACTCGTTGTCATTGAATGCGAATGAAAGAGAAAACAAAATCATTCTTTTCATTCGTGTTTGTATTTTTTTTCCTGTAACTTTACTCCTAGGCAGAGGTATAAATCTCCCCCAACCTTGTTTAACATGGGTCTCTGAGTACACTGGACACAACTCACTCTTTCATTTTCGGATTAACCCAACACGCTTAACCTGCTTTACACGACATATTCTATATATTTAAACCCATCTATTCTTCCTCCCACGTCTAGAAGTTGATTTAGTTCGTAAACTTTTCGCAATGCGGTTCACATTATTTACAATAACGGTGGCAAGACTTGGCGGCAGAACGGGCTAGAGTTATTATTATAAGATTAAGTTCGGGAGGCAGAGGCTAAGTTGGAGGAGCCGTAGTGGGCTGAAGCCGTGCGTGACTTCTGGCAGCAAGTCCAGGAAAGGTGTACTAAGTCCCTTCCTCCTTCCTTCCCTCCTTCCCCACCCACCCTTCCCCTCTCTTCCCTTTCCCTCCTTGCCTCCTTCCATCCCACCCTCGCCTGACGGTAGTGACTCCACTCAAGCTATTTGTAGCCTGAGATATTGTGGGCCTCTCTCTCTCTCTCTCTCTCCTCCAAGAAAAAAATGTGATTCTCTTTTGGTGTCGAATTCATTATTTTTTTTTTCTAGACGTCAATAAGTGTCTTGAGATAAGGTAAGTCTGTATTAAGACATTCCTCCTCTGTTTAAGGGCCATTTTTATCTACTTTTTTTTCTGTATTACAATTTTTTTCCCCCAAAGTCAATAGTTTTGGGATTAAATTGGTTCGTTTAGTCGACTTTTCTACCCGATATTGAGAGGAAGAATGTTGTTTTGTGTAGAACTGTATATATTTTTTTTCCTGAAAGAATTTTAGCTCGTGAGATACTATGGTCCTCTGTCTTAACCTTTTCTCCTCCCTCGTGAGATACTATGGTCCTCTGTCTTAACCTTTTCTCCTCCCTTGAAGAAAAAAAAAGTAAGGAGCTTTTGTTTTTAGGTAGTTAATTGATGATTTTTTTATGACTATTTTTTTTCTTTCTAGAGACATGGGGTCATTTTTCTCCCACCTCTCCGGCCTCTCCCCAGGAAAATATAACGTTGATGTATAATTTAATATGTACTTTCTGTTTAGTTGTTTTTGTTTTTGAAAGAGATTAGTTTTAGGCGACACATAGACAATTGTGAATCATTAATAGGATGAAAAGAGATGAGTTTTTGTATCTATTTCTTATAACTTTTCTGATAATGTTGTCGTTACTGAATTAAGCGATTTTATGGCATGTACAAAAAGT